CGGGGCATCGCACCTCCCGCGGGGGCACCGAGTGGGCCGAGGCACCTTGTAGGGGTTTGCTGTTTCGGAAGCCCTTTCCCCCTTGAGGGCGAAGCAGCCCGCCCCGCGCGTGGCGGGGCGCCGGGGTTCGCGGAGACGTTGGGCGGTGACAACGCCGAAGTCTGACTTGCTTTCAAGCCCACGGGTCCTGTGAGCCGACACCGGGAAAGCTCCGTGAGCGTTGCGCTGCTGCGCTCCGCTGCCCCCGGGGGACAGTGTTTCAGCGGGAGGATGGGGGTTCTTTGCCTCGCTTTCCCCAGGAGCGAGGTGATGGCCCAGAAAGGGGATCAGTGTGCTTTCACTGCCTGCTGCGCTGCAGTAGGAAGGCGCTCGGTGAACAGCTGCTTGGGATTCATCTGATGGGGTGTGACGGATCCGTTTGACACCAGCTCCGGCGCTGATCAGATTAGGTGGTGTACTCCAAACCTCTGTTTCTAAGAAACACAAACATTTTTGTCCAGACTGTAAAAGAGACAGCATGTAACAAAGTTCTTTGCCAACGGGGTGTTTCATATCCTCCTGCTGGTTTAGACCTCACTGTTAGTAATCTTGCACTTCAGTATTCGGTCGTTCTCATCTCATGAGCTGAATTTAGATGTGCGCAATTCCCTATGCATCGTAACGTGTGGGGCGCTTCCAGCTGCACGCCTCTGTCCATCTGGCTGCGAGTTGTGTCCGTTAATGCTTTCATGTGCTTGGCAGAGAAAGTCACCCTATTCTTTGTTTCCTTTCTTCAAAGCCTGAAGAGGACCAAAAGCTGATTTATTCTGGGAAGCTGATGCTTGATCATCATTATCTGAGAGAGCTGCTGCCAAAGGTATAAAAAAAATCTTATGCTGTGCTGAAGTATATTAAGGGAAGTGATTTTTTTTTCTTTAATGTGTCTTCCCTTACATTTTAGCAGGGGGAGTTGCATGCTCTTCATTTGGTATACAACTTCAAGACTCCTGCAAATGTGCAAGAAACCAATGCAGAGGTACTCACGCTAAGTTAATATACTATTCTGGATCTTAGGGTTGTGACTAAAAAAGGGAAGTAGCTATTTTAGCTATTCTAAAGTTCGCTGATACTGCAGCTTTTTCCTGCTAGTGCAATGGCAGCATTACTTTGTGATAATTTGTTTAGGAATGTGAGAATGTATTGGATTAAGCTGAGTAAAAAAATTGACTCTACAGTTCATCAGTAAAGGGTCTCATGGCGTCTGTTAAGAAATACCAAAACTGTAATCGCTGCTCAGGAGAAATGCTTTCTGGTAAATTCAGTTCTGTTAAATAGAACATGAGCTGTCATCTCCCAGGCTCTTTTGGCCAGAGGTTGTGCTTGTGGGCAGAAGACATAGTAGCTACAGAGTGGAAGCGGTTCCGATCTGTAATCGGGGTGCGGGGAAGGAAGAAGGCTGTTAGCTGAAGGCACTCTACTCTCATTAATGACTCGACCTGTAGAGAAGAAGCCAAAGATGAGCCTTAGTGCTTGAACTGAGTACTTACTGGTCTTAAGTGCAAATGGCCAAAACCAATTTTTACTCTCAAGTGGACGTGCTAATGTGTCTAGAGGTGTGTTTATATTGGCTGCTATAGGCAATTTGAGCTTATCCTGCCCATGTCTGGTGTTTGCTAGATGTGAGCCGGCTTTGGTCTGGATATTATACAGCTGTGTCGCTGCAAAACTGCTCTTGACTTCTGTGTACAGCAGTTTGTGTATGCCGGTACAAACTTGTCATAGCTAAGAAGTCAAATTGTCTTTGAGCACAGTTCCCTCTGTTTCTTCCAATTACGCTTTTATAACCAGATGGGACCTGTCTGCATGTGTAAATTAATAAATACAGGTGTAGATCTGGTGAAAGTGAAGAGTAACATCGAGTCAGTTTTACATGCCAGTCATTTTTAAAGGAGCTTTAAGATACGGACGGAGGTGCTTGTGGCATGGTGCCCAAGAGCAGTGTCGGTACTGTGCAGGACAAAGCGCCTGAACTGCGTAGCAGTTCTAAAGTAAGAGCATGTTCTGTATGGCGTAACTTTTTTGCATAAGGCTTGCGTAGTGTCCTGAATAAACCTCACTAACTG